TTTACCTTTGCCTTTCTTGGCTTGAGAACAATAAGCCACAAACATGTACGCATTTACATTCAGTGTTTAATATGGGACTGGCTATGTGGGAATTCTGATAATTGAAGTCCAGGCATCTTAAAGTTGTCAAATTTGAAAATATAGGAAGTTTGGAAAAAAAATGGGAAAATTGGATTTGTTCAGTATATGTAATATTTTCTGCCATACTCTGTTTGAACCTAATGCAATTCTTCAAGGACAAACAGCAGTCCCAGATCGGCATGCAGCTTCCAAGCCTCTTGTTATAGCCTTCAAAACCCATTTTAGCTAAGATTGTAAAAAAAAAAAAAAAAAACCTACGCTAGCACTAAAATAATTGTCATCCATTTGAACAGGAATTCTTGCAGATTATGGTGCAACGTGCATAAACACAAATAAGTGGAGCTGCAGTTACACTGTTGTGGCCTAAAACAGGAAGTCAGAAAATACAAAGGGATAAAACAGGGATATCACAATTAGACTACTAAGAGAATAATTTCAATCACTACAGGCACGATGCTGACCTACCAACTTTGATCACAAAGATTAAGATTCCCCCAATGATGCTTACCTGAAAGGAGTTATAACATTATAAGATATAGGGGAAACAAGCATTTTACTGCACAGATTATCAGAAAAATATTTCATGTACCTATAAGGCAGGGGTGTCAAACTGGATTTCTTCGATCAGCATTGTAGTTCTCCTCTGCAGGCCGACAGCGGCAGGGTGGCAGGACAGATGACTCCTGCAGCAATCTGCCAGCCAAAATGGGGTGCGAGGGGTCCGCAAATGCCCCCCTGCAGTTCATTTTTGCCCTCCATGGCCTTCTGCAGCACCCTACCGGCTGAAAACGGCCCATGTGGCCCGTGCAGGAGGGCATGAAGGGTGAAAACGAGGCGCGGAGAGTCCGCATGCAGCCCGTTTTAGCCACCAGAGGCACCGCAGGCCAGTCCCTTGATATTTCCAGGGTGGCCCAGCGGGCCGGATTTAAGCAACCCGCGGACTGGATCTGTCTTGCGGGCCTTGAGTTTGACACCCCTGCCATAAGGCCTTCCTACTCATATTTATGCATTTTTACACATTCTTACCACCTTCATCTCTGTTTCTCTTCCGAGTATTAAGCTACACTTCACTTGTTGCTGTTACTATTAGCACAGGAATATTAGCAGTCTTGCTTTGTGCATCAACAGATCAGCTGGCTTGTATGAAGGTAAAAGACTTGGTCAAGTCAAGCTTGCCTTTCTGTCAGTTCAGGAAAATGTCAAGTAGATTTCTTGGGAAAAATATGGAAGTGATTTACAATTGCCTTCTGGTTTTTCAACTCAACAGTCCAGGGAATCTCCTGGTGGTCTCCCATTCAAGTAATATCCAAACCAAACCTTGCTTAGCTTCTAAGCCCAGACAACATTAGCCAGAGTCTTTTGTCATACATCTTATAAATCAGATTTGTATAGAATTTATTAATACTTTTAAACACATTTTATGTTTAATTGCTGCGTGCTGTGAGTGCCGCCCTGGATTAAAAAAAGGTGGATATAAATCAAAATGAAAAATGTATAAGCATGAGCCACAATGTGCTTTGATTGGTTATCACACTATAATGTAACAACTAGGCCTTACTTCCAGAAAGTGGACAGTCTCCCTCCTTTCTCTCACACAAATTGTTGTAAATTAACATTTCTTAATTAAACTTTGCTCCAGAGCAAAGCAGTAAATTTGCCCAGACTTTTAAGAATAGCATTATTTGGCAAGCTATTAGACATTTGTTTTAACTTGTTTACTTGTAGACTTGTAGTCTCTTCAGCAATATTTCCATATGCTCTGGCAACTATATTTTTCTCCATAGTTTCTAAATTCAGATGGGAAGTTGAGAACTGAATAACAAACAGGCCCAGAATACATGAACTCTAATAATGATGTATGGCATGTTTACTTTTATAACTGAAGAGAGTATGGGTTTTGTCAATGTACAAAATTGACAAGGTATTCTTTGAATTCTTGTACAAAATTGCAGCTGTCGAGTCTGGCTAATTCCTTGGCAGTTCTTCTTCCTGGACTAGAACTTTAAAACTGTAAGGCAGAGAAAACAAGTCTTTCCCAACCTGGCAAGTTCTAAATGTACAAGGATCAACATTTCTGCAGATACATAAAAACTGTAAATAAAGCTATTGGCCATGTTGATTAGGAACAGTGAAGTCCAACCAGTGTTTCTCAACCTTGGCAACTTTAAGATGTGTGGATTTCAACTCCTAGAATCCCCTAATCAATCTTTTCCCTGGCTGAGGAATTCTGGAAGTTGAAGTCTACATACAATACAATTGCCTAGGTTGAGAAGCACTGGTTCAACACATTTAGAAACCATAAAAGTTGGCAAGTTCAAGATATGTGGAATTCATCCCTCAGAATTCCAGAGCCAGCTAGTTCAAGTCCACACATCTTTGACATCTGGTCAAAGTTGAGAATATGCCATAGGCAGAAAAATATTAGGATAAATGGTCAGTGGGTAGAAAACCCAGATTTGCAAAAGATTGGCTGAAGACTTAGCTTTAAAAGAAGACAATTGTATTCCCCTAATCCAATTGCATAAACAAAGAGTTCTTGAAGGTCCAAACTCAATCTTTTGTGTAATGTGATTTCATCATAATAAAAGTATTGATCATGAATTTATGTTGCTTATTACTCACATCTATCACTTCTGCAAGATTTTTATTCAATTGTTGTGTAATATATTATTTATATATATATCTACGTATCTGCTTCTATAGAATTTATATTTTGCGGCTCTTATAATTTCTTGATTCAAACAAGATGATTCATTTTCTTTGGACTATTTGCTAATAGTCTTCCACTGCTTTTTAAAAATCTATTTTTCCTACTATTCTGGATGCAGAACTCTGACAAGCCAGGCAAATGATGCCCTTTGATTTTATTGCCTTAACAAAGGCGTATGCTTTATCACTTTATGACAAAATCATATACCACAAAGGAAGATATTTTGAGTTTGAAATTGGGACAGAGATAAACAGTAAAATAGTAAGCAGGCATACTTTAAATTGAATTAAAGTTAGTAATCCAAAGCAAATGTCAAACGAGTGTTCTGAAAATATTTTAATTGGCATTTATTTTAATTGGCATCTAGAGAAAGCTTTGCTCTTCTTAAATACTTCAAATGGAGAGCAGTCTAGTGATGTCAGTGGATCTGGATTTCATCCAAGATCACTGGAGCTCAATTGTAATCAAGTTAAGACCTGCTGCAAGGGGCCCAGGAGCGTCATTCCTTCTCTTACCACAAAGTGTTCAGAGGGAGGGGTAGCAGGGTGAAATTAAGAGGTTTCAAATATTATTGCATTCAGAGGCAGTATCAAGAGCAATATGAAGAAAAATGCCCAGAATCGTGCTTGGCAGGAAACAAAGGAACTGATTGGCGTAGTGCAGAAATCCTAACCAGATCTTTCCACTGCACCCTCTACCAGTTGTGTTAAAAAAAAACAACACACACACCCTCAACCAACCAACCAGCTTTCTCAGCAATAGGCAAAATAATTGGTTATGCACATTAAGGAGGCATCATAAACCATTCCAGGACAAAGGACACAAAAGACTCCATTTTTAATATATAAAGTCTACCGTGTTTATTCAATACACATTAAAGACAACCCCTGAAAACCAGGAACACAACTTCAACACTCCGTTACGAAGTGTACATATGTGTATATATATAAATATGCGTAAAAGCACCCATACACACATACTGAGTCCACAACTGCTCCTGTTAAACCAGAGGGTGTGCGCACGCATATAGATATATACACACATTTTATTGTTTTTATTTTTAAAAGCTTGTGATGAGCTACCTTCTGTGAACAGAGTTCTTCAGCCACAATCTCTGATAATGTTCAGTTGAAGCCAGCTGCTTTCTAGCTTTTAGATTCATTGTTTTTTTTTAATGGCTTCATATAGATTGTATTTCTAGGTTTTGTTTTGTTTTAAAAAAACAACAAC